TGACTGAAGGATATACAATGATCTTTAAACCTGAAATATCCATAATGTCTAGGCAGATGTCAGAAAAATGCTCCAATGGAGATGGCAGTGCCCAGAAAAGTGCCATCATAAGATGGAAGTGGTTTTCCCAGGATGGTGCTGCCTGCGGAGATGGTTAGGAACAGGAAGCCTCTTCTCTGAGGACTGAATCTGCATCTATGTGAGCAGTTCTGAATTCCATCTCTGGACAGCGAATGCCCCATTAACAGCTCTTAACTGACCTTCAAAGAGCTGCTCGGTCTATGGACAGCAGTTCCCAGGTGAACAGACAACCTTGTCTTTGGAAGGTCACCACTCTGATCAAAGAAGGTGAAAACAGGTCAGTCTGGTGGGCTGAACTGCAAGCTGTTTTCCGAGCTGTGATGGGAGAATTGGCAGTGGTGATATTTCCCATGTTCTGGTTTCTACAGACTCACGGTCAGGCAGGAGGGCGATGGAAAACTAGCTTCTTAAAGGGATGCCTGGGGACTTACCTGGTGGGCCAGTGGTGCGGACTCCTAACCTGCGCTTCCACTGCTGGGGCCTGGGTTTGATCCCTGGTTGGGGCACTAAGATCCTGCAAGCTGAGAGGCCAGGCCAAAAAGAACAAATTAAAAATAAATAAATAAAAGGATGCCCATATGGGGCACAGCCCCGTGGAAATCACTTTGGAAATTTGAGGGCACTTGTAAGTAGGATATGACACTTCAGTGCCCATTGTTGGAACCCTCTTCCAGCTTAATAAGCAGAGATTTCGGTGTGTTCACTTAAGGTGGCCACCACCTGGACCCATGAAATAAGTGGACATGGGGTCTCTGCAGCAATATTGAGATGGGGCTGAATCTACACATGGCCCTCTTGTACCCCCTCCTGAGGTGGCAGGTTCTCTGGGGGGCAGGCCTGGATCGCAACTGGCAGGTAAGACTAATGCTGGTGTCCTGGGGGTGCACATGGGTCCTGCCCGGAACAGATCCCGACTCTGGAGTGGGCTTTGCTTACCCAAATACTCAGAATGACATAAAATATTTGGAACAGAAGATATTGACTCGCGCCGCGGCCGCGGAGACGTGAAGGCCTCCTCGCCGCGTCCCCCCTCCCCCCGCCAGCCCCCCGGGTCCGCGCTCCACCTCGCTGTCCGCTCCCCCGGCCCCCATGGAGAAGACGGAGCTGATCCAGAAGGCCAAGCTGGCCGAGCAGGCCGAGCGCTACGACGACATGGCCACCTGCATGAAGGCTGTGTCGGAGCAGGGCGCCGAGCTCTCCAACGAGGAGCGCAACCTGCTCTCGGTGGCCTACAAGAACGTGGTCGGGGGCCGCCGGTCCGCCTGGAGGGTTTTCTCCAGCATCGAGCAGAAGACCGACACCTCGGACAAGAAGTTGCAGCTGATCAAGGACTACCGGGAGAAAGTGGAGTCCGAGCTGAGGTCCATCTGCACCACGGTCCTGGAATTGTTGGATAAGTATTTAATAGCCAATGCAACTAATCCAGAGAGTAAGGTCTTCTATCTGAAAATGAAGGGAGATTACTTCCGGTACCTTGCTGAAGTTGCTTGTGGTGATGATCGGAAGCAAACAATAGATAATTCCCAAGGAGCTTACCAAGAGGCTTTCGATATAAGCAAGAAAGAGATGCAACCCACACACCCCATCCGGCTGGGGCTGGCTCTTAACTTTTCTGTGTTCTACTATGAGATCCTCAATAACCCGGAACTGGCCTGCACACTGGCTAAAGCGGCTTTTGATGAGGCTATTGCAGAACTTGACACACTGAATGAAGACTCGTACAAAGACAGCACCCTCATCATGCAGCTGCTGAGAGACAGCCTCACAGTATGGACATCAGACAGTGCAGGAGAAGAATGTGATGCGGCAGAAGGGGCAGAAAACTAAGTGCATACAGGGTGTCATCTTTCTTCCCCTTGAAACCTTTTTACTCATCTCCATTCCTTATTCCATTTGGATTTCCTATAGCAAAGAAACCCATTCATGTGTATGGAATCAGCTGTTTATAGTCTTTTCACACTGCAGCTTTGGGAAAACTCCATTCCTTGATTTGTGTTTGTCTTAGCCTTCCTGGTGTGCAGTTACTGCTGTAGAAAAGTATTAATAGCTTCATTTCATACAAACATAAGTAACTTCCAAACACTTATGTAGAAGACTAAAAATGTATCTGGTATTTAAGTAATCTGAACCAATTCTGCAAGTGACTGTGTTTTGTATTACTGTGAAGATATGAAAATGTAGCTAATTACAATTTAAAGAGTGTTCTACATAACTTCTTAATTTCTACATTCCCTCCCCTTACTCTTCTTCAGAGATTTCCTTTGAGTAAGCAACTTTTCCATCCTCTTAATGTATTCCTTTTTAGTAGGAATCCAGAAGTATTAGATTGAATGGAAAAGCATTTGACATTTTGGGGCTGGGGGGATCACAGATTAAAATGCCTCCTGTATCATATATATGTGATGGAGGACTTGTGTATCTGTGACAACAGGGAGTTTCCTTATTCATTCTTCATTTGCTGCTGTTTGAGTTGACAACTTCCCTTCCCAATAAAAACTCACTTACACCTCCTGCCTTTGTAGTTCTGGTATTCACTTTACTGTGTAATAAAAGTAGCATATTGCTGCCAGAATACAAGCATTGCTTTTGGCAAATTAAAGTGCATGTCATTTCTTAATACATTAGAAAGGGGGAAAAAGCACACAGTCCAGTCTAAAACATTAGTACTTTTCCATGCAGATTTGTGCACATGTGAGGGTGTCCAGTTTGTCTAGTGATTGTCATTTAGAGAGTTGGACCACTATTGTATGTTGCTAATCATTGACTGTAGTCCCAAAAAAGCCTTGTGAAAATGTTATGCCCTATGTAACATCAGAGTAACATAAAATAAAATTACATTTTATAAACCAAAAAAAAAAAAAGAAGATATTGTGTCAGTTTGCGTGGCCGGTCATCATTTCTTCAGACCAAGGACCCCACTTGGTAGCCCGTGATGGCCAAAGTATCCGTTTGGTAGGGAATTGGAGTGAGCAGTTGAAACATCAGTTTAAAGTGGACCAGTAAAGAGCTGGGTCACACACCTCTACATGTAACACAGGCATGAGTGTGGCCAAAGGGGTGTCCCCACTGGGGGATGTCTCTGTTTTTCTGATGGGTCCGGGAAAGACAAAGTGGGGAGAAATGCAGATCAGACTATGCAGTTTTTGCCAAGACAGGAGGATACCCATATACCAACTCATTTTTTTTTTTTGTTTCCCGCCACACCACTGTTTTTCTTCCCATCTGGCTTCCCAAGTGGCGCTAGTGGTAAAGAACCCACCTGCCAATTCAAGAGACATAAGAGATGTAGGCTTGATCCCTGGGTCAGGAAGATCCGCTGGAGGAGGGCATGGCAACCCACTCCAGTATTCTTGCCTGGAGAAGCCCATGGAAAGAGGAGCCTGGTGGGCTACATAGTCCATAGGGTTGCAAAGAGTCAGACGCGACTGAAGTGACGTAGCACACACCTGCTCCTATGGTCAGGGCTGCAAATACAAGTGCCCAAGACAGCGATGATTCCCAAATAAGAGACAGAAACACTACTTCAAACCTTATGTCAGAATTCCTAAGTGCCTGCTGGGGCAACGTACGCCTTCACCCCCCGACAAAGTTAGGGTCGACAGTGAATGCAGCTACAGTGATGCTGTTTAAAGATAGCTCACCAGCTCCAAGGCTGTATCCTGAGCCCTTCACCTCCCACCTGCTTCTGAGACAAAAAGGAGCAGGCTCTCAGAGGCAGGCTCCCCCGGGAACTCTTGTGTACAGACCAAGGTGTAAATCAACACTTTGCTTTTCAAAAAAAAAAGCTCACCAGTTCTGCACCTGTGTGACCACACCCTCTGTGGGCCGAGGAGGGAGACACCACTGGACTAGCATTGCTGCCTGCATTTTGGACCAGGACAGTAGCCCAACCTAATGTCCCTTCCAAAGGTGGAAGCCTTTGGGGAATCAATGCAGAGAAAGTAGAAGAGGATCAGTGCAGAGAAGGCAGAACAGGAGCTAAGGGTAAAGTAAAGATAAATGAATTATGTCATGAGGGAAAGCCAGTGTTACATAAATGCCTTGAAAGAGGCTCAGATCAAGAGATGATATTGTCTCTTAGCTCGATTACAGCCAGATGCCCAGAAGGGTGAAGCCATTTGTGCCAAGACTACTCTTGCTTTTGGAACCTGACAAGATCAGATGGAAGCCTGCAACCTCACCCTGGCTATGGATGGGGGTGATTGCTGACTGTGTGGAATTCTGGGACACGACAGTGTCTTTCAAGTTACATATTGTTTTTTGGGGGGTTTTATTTGGCTGCACTGGTTGCAGCCCGTGGGATCTTTAGTTGTGGCATTCAGGATCTAGTTCCCTGACCAGGGATTGAACCCTGGGCCCCTTGCACTGGGAGCACAGTCTTAGCCATTGGACCACCAGGAAAATCCCAGCGTTTCCCTGAGTTCTGTGAGCTGGTCTAACAAATAACTGAATGAACCTCTGACTTGTAGCCAACTTGGCTGACCTAGGGTGACCTGCAGACCTCCTGCCTGCATCTGAAGCAGGGAGCAGTCTTGTGGGCCTGAACTCTTAACCTGTGGGATCTTAGATAACTCTAGTTATCAGAATTGAGAGACACCCTGGCTGGTGTCACACAGAATTGCCTGATGTGGGAAGAAACCCCACACATTTGGTGTCAGAAATGTTGTGAGTGTGGCCGTGAGCGAGAGCAAAAGAGAGACCCAGGAGGAGGAGGAGGGGACATTTTCATTGCACACGGGGATCCGATATGGACTGAGCTGTGTTCCTAAATTCATAGGTTGAAGTCGTAACCCCCAGCCCCTCAAAATGTGTCTGCATTTGGAGACAGGCCTCGGACTTTAGAGAGGCGATTAAGGTAAAATGAGGCTGTTAGGGTGGGCACTCGTCCAGTGTGACTGGTGTCTATGAGAAGAGGGGATATGGACACAGACACCAGGGCTGCCTGGGCAGAGGAAGGTCCGAGTGAGGACACAGCCACCTGCAAGGTGAGAAGCCTTGAGAAAAACAACCTTGCCTCCAGAAGTGAGGAAATAAACTGCTGTTGTTTGGGCCACCTGGTCTGCGGTGGTTTGTTCTGGCAGCCCCAGCGGCTCAGCACAGGATCTAGATGTTTTAGTTTGCATCTCTAGCTTGCTAATCCTGCTCACTATTTATTTTGTTTCAAACGCACACGGGGGTCCCATCGCGGCCCAGCTCTGCAGACCGTCCCCCGACAGGAAGTCCACTCCCCCTTCCTCCTCATCTTTTTCCAGCTGCTCGGCCTCCCAGCACCCGGCTCCCCGCGGGCGTGAGCGGCGGCTCTGCCTCCTGGGTCTCTTCCCATTCGTCCTCTCCTCCGCGCTGCGCTCCGACCGACCTGCCACAAGCGCTCCAGCTCCTGCGAGGATGTTGTTTAGTCGCTAAGTGGTGTCCGAGTCTTTGCGACCCTGCGCACTGTAGCCCGCCAGGCTCCTCTGTCCAAGGCATTTCCCAGGCAGGAATAGTGGAGTGAGTTGCCATTTCCTTTTCCGGAGGTTCCTCCCGACCCAGGGATCAAACCTGAGTCTCCTGCATTGGCAGGCGTATTCTTTACCACTGAGCCACCTGGGAAGACTTGCGAGGCTGTTACTGGATTTTAAAAGCCTAGCACCTGCCCCAAGGTAGCCCCCGGGTCTGGGATCTAGAGATGCTAGAAGCTCGGCGTGGGAGGCAGAGACCCTCGCAGCCCACGTGGTTAGGGGAATTAATTCGGGGACCACCGGCAGCCCCAGGCGCGCACACCGGGGCGGCGCGGGGTGGGGGTGGGGGGGGCGGTGCGGGGCTGGCAGGGATGGGCGGGGGGCGTGCCGCGATCCCGCGGAGCGGGAAGCAGCCTAGCCGCCGGCCGCCCGGAAATCCCCCAGCCGAAGCGCGGGCCGCGCGCCCAGGGGTCTCCGGGAAGAGCGGTGGAGGGAGGGGAGGGCCCGGAGCCGCCCTTCCCCCGGGCCCGGCGGCGCGGATCTGAGAAAGCAGAAGCGAGCGGCCCTCTGGGGAGTCCCATTGGAGCAGGGATCTGGGAAGAGAAACTTGCGGCCGGGCTCTCTGAAGCGCTCCGGGAGGCCCTGGATCCGGCAGGGTCTTTAGCCATCTTCGACAAGGGAAGGTTGGGCCCCGGCTCCCCGCCTGGCAGTCTTCGCCTGCCCCGCCCCGCCCCGCCCCGCCCCGCCAGGCTAGCCGCTCCTGTCCCGAAGACAGGCCGTCGGCGCGGACGGGACCGGTGCGCACCCCCGGGAGTCCGCGCCGCAGACCCGGAGCCCGCGCCCTCTCAACCCTCCCGGCCCTCGGCTGGACGCCCCGGTGCTCCCCGCACCGTACCTCCCACGGTCCCGGATCCCCGAGCGCCACCCTTTCACCCCCTTGCCCCCTCCTCGTACCCGTTGCCAGGTCCCCTGAGCCCTTCCGGGCCCCCGACCTCCTCCTCAGATCTCCGGGGCGGCGCCGGGCAGGTCCCCGGGAGCCCCGCCGGCCGCCGGGGAGGAGAGCGCCATGCTCCGGCTCCTGGCCTTGCTGCTCCCGCTGCTGCAGCCGCCCGCGCGCGCCCGGGAGCCCTCGGCGCAGGACGTGAGCCTGGGCGTGGTGAGTGCAGGGGTCCGCCGGCTCCGATTTGCAACAGAGCTGGGAGAGGAGAACAGGGGCCTCGACTTCTGGGTTCAGAGAGGGCGGGGGACGCTTTCCAAATGTCCAAAGAGTGACCGAGGATGAAGACTGGGAACCCGAATCCTTGGATTCGTCAGGAGGTTGAGGGCCGGAATTTGGAAATCTGAAAAAGGGTTGGGGTGGGAAGGTGGGGACCCTTGGTAACAAATGAACACTAGCAAACCCGGGGCTGGAGGGACTGGACCTTGAGGTGGGGAGCAGACGGTTTTCCGGGGCTGGGGACCTGGGGCTGGCCATACCTAGTGAGAAGTGAGGCTTCCAGGATGGTGGTTGGATGGGAGAGCCCCTCCACAAGCCTTTCTCCTTCCCCTGTTTCCACCTCTGGTCTAGGACTGGCTGACCCGCTATGGCTACCTGCCGCCCCCTCACCCTGCCCAGGCCCAGCTGCAGAGCCCTGCAAAGCTGCGGGATGCAATCAAGGTCATGCAGAGGTTTGCTGGCCTGCGGGAGACAGGTGTCCTGGGTATGTGGCCCCCACCCCCTTCCCAGCCCTGTCTTGGCCCGGCACCCAGCCCATCCCACCAACTGCAGGGTCTAAACATCTGCATGTAGCTGAATCACCAGGGGCTGTGAACATGCTGACTTCAGGTCCCAACCCGGGAGGTGCTAAGACATTCCTGTTTCAGTAAATATTTATCAGGAATCTCTTCCCCATGAACTGACATATGAGGTCATTCCAGGCTCCACTGGAATAGTGGTGAACAAGGTAGAGGAGGTCCCCGCTCCCAGGGAGCTAACGTTCTAGAGGGAGAGAGGCACAGAGCAAGAATAGTGATGAGTGTTCTGAAGAGAATAAAATGCTAATGATCCTCAGGGGCTGGTTCGGGCAGGGCAGGCCCCTCTAAATAAGGTCACGTGAGCCGGGAGGAGCTCATGTGACATGAAGAATTCCTAGGACACAAAGAGGGGGAATCAACCCTGGGGAGATGGAGGAGGTGATCTCGAAGGCTGGTGCAAAGGCCCTGTGGCAGACACAGGCTTGCATGCCTGTGATGAAAGGAGGACTCCAGAGCTAAACAAGAGCCTGATTAGGGGCCCAGAAAGGTATTTTGGTTTGACTTCCAAAGTGATAAGAATCCCTGAGAGGGTTTGAGGGAGGGAGGCAAGGAGACCTGATTTGCAGTTTTGAGTTTCCTCTGCTTACTGGTGGCGAATGGAGAGTGGGGAGTACAGAGACCACTGTGCAGGCAAGGATATGATGAGAAGCGGTGAATCCAGAATGTGTATTTCGGAGGCAGAGCTGAGAGGCTCGTCCGTTGGGTTAAATGAGAGCAAGAGGGAAGCCGAGGGGTCCTGTCCAGATGCGAGGGAGGTAGGAACCTTCTGGCCCCAGGATGTGCTCGGTGGCTCCTTGTCACCTCAAACCACGAGATGAGGTTGGACCTTCACTTGGAGCCGAGGGGACTGCTGGGAACGGAGCTGAACTGGGCAGGGGGATTCCGGGTGACCTGACCTGGGAGGGGCTTGCCACCAGAGACTAGAGACCTGGCTGGCCCGGGGACTTTGAACTTGACCTGGATGTGATGGGGACTCGGGGGCTAGCCTGTGAGGTGTGAGTAGCCTCCCAGGGGCTTCCAACCTTTAAGAGAGGCATTCTCCCGGCACCCGCAGGGTTCTTTCTCTAGAATCCAGCTGCCAGGACTCAGGGAAGCGGGCCGCCCAGATCCTGGCCTGAGGCTCTTGCATCCATCCAGGGCCAGGTGCGGAGGGTGATAGTACCCAGAGGGCAGTGTCATAGTTTGGTACGAGCTGGCATTCAGAGTCAGACAGCCTGGCTCCCAGTCCAGGCCGTGGGGCCTTTGTGAGCAAGTGTTTGGAGCTCTCGGAGACTCAGTTTGCCCATGGAGAATGTTAGCTCGCGCCTGCTGCTGATCCCCCGTCTGCTTCAACCTCTCCCGCAGACCTGGTGACGGTGGCCACGATGCATAAACCCCGCTGCTCCCTGCCCGATGTGCTGGGGGCGGCGGGGCTGGTGAGGCGGCGGCGCCGGTACGCTCTGAGCGGCAGCGTGTGGAAGAAGCGGACACTGACGTGGAGGTCAGTCCTGGCGCCCTCTCGACCACCCTGGGGTGCCCTCTGGGCCCCAGCTTCATGTGTCTGCCCTCTCTCTGCAGAGCTCCTCACTTGGCCCTCCTCTTTCCAGGGTCAACTCCTTCCCCCAGGGCTCCGCGCTGAGCCAGGAGACGGTGCGAACACTCATGCACCATGCCCTGACCACTTGGGGCACCGAGTCAGACCTCAGGTTCCAGGAGGTGGGTCCGCAGGGGCCCACGGAGCCTGACATCCTCATCGACTTTGCCCGGGCCTATCACCAGGACAGCTACCCCTTCGATGGGCAGGGGGGCACCCTGGCCCATGCCTTCTTCCCGGGGGAGCACCCTATCTCTGGGGACACGCACTTCGATGATGAGGAGACCTGGACTTTTGGGTCAAAAGGTACCATCTCCCCTCTTATGAGAGGTCCCCTGTCCAGATCTGCCTGTCCTTAAGAGTGAAGTTTACATTACATTTACTGATGGAGGCTGTATCAATTGGGCTTCTCCAGAAAAACAGAACCAGTAGGATGGGTGTGTGCACGTGTGTGTGGAGAAAGTGATTTACTTTAAGGAACTGGCTCACAGAATTGCAGAGGCTGGTGAGCTCCACAATCTGTAGGGCAGGTCTGCAAGTTGGAAATTCAGGAGACTTGATGGTGCAGTTTTGAGTTCAGTATTTGCAGAGCAAGCCAGATGGAAACCCAGGCAGGCTTTCCTTGTTGCAGTCTTTGGGCAGAATTCTTTCTTCTTCAGGAAACCTCAGTTTTGGTTTTTAATGCTTTCAACTGATTAGATGGGCCCCGCCCATACAATGGAGGATAATCTGCTCTACTTACCATGGCTTATAGATGTTATTCATGCCGATAAAATAACCTCCACGACAACATCTTGACTGGTACTTGATCAGGCATTGGGATACCCTCTAGTCTGGCCAAGTTGACACAGAAAATCACCCATCACAGAGGGGAAGTCCAAGTTGGGGCTGAGGACTCAAAGGAGCAAGAACACAGGTCTGCCAGTAGCTGAGTCAGAAGAGTAACTGGCAATTGCTACACAGGGTGTCATAATTACGCAGAATCACAACAGAGGAAGTTCTTAAGCCTGGGGGTGCTCACACGAAGGCTGGCTGAAGGGATGGGGACTTCCTGGAAGCAGTGACTTTGCTTGTTTCACATATGTAGACAATGCATGCCAACTAGTGCCCAGGGTCCCACTCTCCTGGAGTACCAGGGTGGGGGTGGGAGGGGTCACATAAGGCACAAGCCAGTGAGCTCACTGAGGCCAGGGGAGTCAGAGGTGGGGGTACAGGGGTGAGGAACAGCCTGGGATATTCGGGGCTGGAAGGCACACATGTGCTGTTGGGAGCAGACCGCAGAGGATGGAGGGCCAGTCTCATGTGATGAGAGGGGCCTGGAGGGCACATGGAGGGGTCTGGACAATCGGATTCTAAAGGCAGTGGGAGCTGTGGAAGGTTTTGCATTCTAGAGATAACACTGGCTGTCGTGGGGAGCAAGATGGGGACAGGGAGGCAGGGAGGTAGCTGGGGTCGAGGTAAGAGATGGTGGGGGCGATGGGGATGGGGGCGGAGGGCAGTGGGCAGCTCAGAGGGGAGTCTATCAGGATGGACAGAGACTGGGATCTGATTAGATTCGGCAGCAAAGGGGGTGAGGATGGCCGGATACCAGCCAGGTTTCTGGCTCAAAGTCCCTGAAGAATGGTGTCCCATCAATGCAGATGAGAAGAGGGCGGGGAGGGGGAGCAGGCTGGGGAGGGCAGGTGAGTTCAGGTCGGGGCCTGTCTGCAGTGCCAAGTTGGTGCAGGTGGTGCGTTGATGGTATCTTGTGCTAGAAATTTGGATTTATCCAACTTAAGTCAGGTTTCCCAGAACTGGAGCGCAAGAGGAAAATTCTTGTGCAAGCAGTTTTGGGGGGCACATTCTCAGGGGAAAGGGAAGCAGGAGAGACGTGGGGGGAGGGAGGGGGGAGAAGCTAAGCTAGGATGTGGTCTCAGCTGGAGAAGAGCCTGACCCTGCAGGGAACTTCTGGAGAGTAAATGGCACTCACTCCAGGGTTGGTTCTGCCTGGAGGCAGGGGGCCTAACTCTTCCACTCCCCATCCCTGGAACTGCTGGGGGTGGCTGGGCCAGGAGGGAGAGCCATTTGCTGGCAATGGGTCCTCAGGCTCTGCAGAGGGACTTAGGTGAGGTGGGGATAGCAGACACAGATCCACCGCAGGGAGGCTGTGTAACAGCGTTTAAGAACTTGGGGTTGAAGCTGAGCTCAATTCAGGGTTCCTCTGCCTGCTGCTGTGTGTGCCAGCTACTTGGCCTCCGTGTGCTCCGTCTCCTCACCTGAGGAATGGGGATAATAGTATGTACTGGTCCCATGGGCTTGCAGATGAAACGAGTAATTCACCTACAGCTCTCAGCACACTGTTCATGGTCGGCCACTATGAGCTGGGTCTCCCAGCACATTTGAGAGTTGGTGATACCTGCGGGGTCAGGTTCCAGGAGAAGGTAGAATGAGAAGTTCAGAGGTGGGGAGGTCTCACAGTTAAGGGGAGGGCGACAGGCAGTGAGTGGGTGGGGGAGGGATGAAAGCAGATGGAGAAAAACTAGGCTGAAAGGTGATTAGCGAAGACAAGTGAAGGAGGAAGTGGGCAGCAGTGAGCAGGGCTTCAAGTCATCCAGTAAGTTACTTACGGTTGGATCTCACCATGTGGGGACAAAGTGACCTTAGTGCCCATGGTTTGGTGGGTGGAGGGAGAATCCAGACCACAGAGGCGTGAGAGGAGCTGAGCAACAAGGCTGAGTTCAGACTGCTGACCAGAGAGCTTGCTGTGGGGGGGGAGCGGGCTGTGGATGGTGGGCAGACAGGTCCAAGGGGTGTCCTAGGAAGAGGGAGTCTTGAAGACTCAGGGACAGTGGATGAGCCAATAGAAAGAAAGAGGTGGGGGATGAGTGCATGGATAGCAGATTAACGGATGGATCAATGAACCGATGAACGGACACACGGATGGATGGAGGGACCGATGGACACATGCCTGCCCGAAGGCAGAGATGAATGGATGGGTGGGGCTTTATCCTTGTCCTGGAGGAGGTGAGTGAGGCAAGGATCTCTCTGAGGGCAGGGCAAGAGGCAGGAGATGAGCTGGGGGGTGGGGGTGGCGGCAGTGGCGGGGATGAAGCTCTGTGCCCCATGCACAGAAGCTTACTGATGACACAAGCGGCCTGTCTTGATGAAACAGGAAATTTGTCATCTAAGAGTTGCCGGCTGGGACTGGGTAGCACCTGGAGGGGCTTTGAGTCTGGATTTGAGGCTGAATGGGGGGAGCAAAGGAGCTGCCTGCTGAGGCCGTGGGTGAGGGTGAGGGGAGGTGCAGAGGACCCCCAGAGATGAGCACCGGGAGTCTCTGCGGCTGGATCTGCACGGTTGTGTAATTTCCCTAGCTGAATAGCATGACAAGGGTACAAGGAAGGGGTGTGGGCAGAGGAGAGGCAAGGACACTTTGTGGGGGGGGCGGGTGGTAAAATACGAAAAAGATCTACCTGATAAAGACACCAAATGTCCTCCATCCAGTTTCTTAGAAAAAGCTCTCTTATATTGAGAAAAGCCACAATCAACATGGGAATTCATCAGTACTTATGAGTTTGACTAAGACATCTGAAACCACTGCTGAGAAGTGGGACAGCCCAGCCAGGGTTCCGGCTTCCTCATTGAACTTGACCTCTGTGCCTCAGTTTCCTCACCTGTAAAATGAGGATAGGAGGTAGAAGTAACTGAGGACAAGCCTTTGCTGCTCTGCTTATGACTCACTCATCTTGTCCTTAGATTCTCACTTAGTGGCCTTGAGTGGTGAAGAGAAATTTGCGTTTCAGTTCACCAGGTTACTTCCAATAATTGCAGTTTCACCACTGCTCACTCTAGTTAGAGATTTCCCTGATGGTAGATCAACCTGGGGTGGCGGGGGGGCGGGGGGGCGGCGCCGGTTGTCTCTCTTGCTGTCTCTGTCCCTTCTTAGCCTCTCACTGGCTCAGGAATCAGCAGCTGGGAGCGTGGAGACAGCTTGGTCCCGGCGCCTGGGCTGGGTCCCCAGGGAAAAGCCTTCTGTGGTCAGAGAGGTTGGGCGCCAGGGCCAGTAGGCTGTGGTTGGAGAGTGCCTGCTAGAGCTTCAGGCTGCAGGGGTGGGGAGGGGAGGCGAGGACCCCAGGGAGGTGGGGGTGGGGGGTGGAGGCTGTGGGAGGGAGAGATGGAGCGGAAATAGAGCACTGGGGGTCCTGGGCACTAGCCCGGTGGGGATAGAGGGAGGGGGAGAGAGGCCATGGAGTCTGACCTTCCTTCCCTGTGGGTGCAGAGGGGCGGGGCCTCTGGAGCTGTGAGAAGGGAGCGTCCCCAGAGCTGGGGCTCCCTCAAGAGAAGCACACACCCGGAGGATCCTGCTTCCCCTAGAATGTTTCCTTTTTTTTTTTTTTTAAAGAATATTCATTTATGCATTTGGCTGCACCGCCAGGTCTTCCTGCGGCCCTCGGGATCTTGCTGCGTGCAGACTGTCAGTTGCAGCCCGCGGGATCTAGTTCCCTGACCTAGACCCCCTGCACTGGGAGCGTGGGGACCAGCGGGAGGCCTCCGCACAGCGTTTCTGCACGCTGCCTTCCTGGGACAGCGGCTCCATCCTTATGCAGTTGCTCCTCCCAACTCTCCCTAGTCAGCGCGTCCCTCGCAGTGTGCAGCACTACCAAACCAGGCTACAGGAGACTAGCCACCAAATCAGTGCACCCATAGAGGAGGGAAAAGATGACTCAGGGAGGGGGTCTGGACACAGGAGGCCGCGGCCACCTCGGAGGGTCTCCGGGCTGCTTGTTTGCACCAGAATGCCCCTTTCTCCGGGGCTTCCTGGGGGTGCTGGGGTGGGGGTGGGGCCCGGCTCCCGCGCATTCTCCCTTCCTCCCCAGATGGCGAGGGGACGGACCTGTTTGCGGTGGCTGTTCATGAGTTCGGCCACGCCTTGGGCCTGGGCCACTCCTCAGCGCCCGACTCCATCATGAGGCCCTTTTACCAGGGCCCAGTGGGCAACCCCGCCGAGTACCGCCTGTCCCAGGACGACCGCGACGGCCTGCAGCAGCTCTACGGTACCGGGGGCGGCGGGGTGCTCTCCCCCTGGGGGCCTCTGCAGTGGCGTCAGGGGACCCAGCCCCGTAACCCTCTCTCCACAGGGAGAGCACCCCAAACCCCATATGACAAGCCCACACGGAAGCCCCTGGCTCCTCCTCCCCCGCCCCCTGCCCTGCCCCCGGACAGGTGAGTCCTCTCCAGGTAGGAGGCCTTGGATGCTACCCCTAACCTCAGGGTCCTCCTTTCGAGATGGGCAGGTGAGAGTCCCTGCCTTGTAAGATGTGGTCAAGATTAAATAAAAGGAGCGGAACCCCGCCCCTCCTCTCCACTCACCTCTCTTTTCCTTCCCAGCCCCCCCCAACCCCTCCCTGATCGATGTGATGGCAATTTTGACGCCATCGCCAACATCCGAGGCGAAACTTTCTTTTTCAAAGGTAAGTGACTTCCATCTCCCCGACCCCATACAGCTGGCTTCACACTCACTTAGTGACCCGCCGCCGGGGCCCCGAGGGTCGCAGGGATGCCGGACTTTCAGTGCCAAAAATGGGAAACTCTGGCCCAACCGGTCACTGCAGCCTTGATTTTTGATGGACCTCCGGCCCCGCCCCGCCCCGCCCCCAGCGGTGGGAGGGGAAACCCCCGACTGTGTCCAAGTCACACCCCGGCGGGCAAGTGGGGTGCGGGGTAGTGGAAGGGTGTACAGAAGGGGTGACCTCCTGCCATCTCATCTCAGGCCCATACGCCCACCCATTCTTCCTCCCCCAATTCGCCCCCCAACCTAGGCCCCTGGTTCTGGCGCCTCCAGCCCTCGGGACAGCTGGTGTCGCCCCGGCCCGCCCGGCTCCACCGCTTCTGGGAGGGGCTGCCAGCCCAGGTGAAGGTCATTCAGGCCGCCTACGCCCGGCACCCGGACGGCAGGATCCTCCTCTTTAGCGGTCAGTGGGGTCCGGGTTTGGGGGGTGGGGGGCAGCGGCTAGCGCCGAGCATGCGCAGCGCGGCTCACCCGCCCCCCCCGTTCCCCCGCCCGGTCCCGCCCGCAGGCCCGCAGTTCTGGTCGTTCCAGGACCGGCTGCTAGAGGGCGCCGCGCGGCCGCTCACTGAGCTGGGGCTGCCCCCTGGAGAGGAGGTGGACGCCGTGTTCTCCTGGCCGCTCAACGGGAAGACCTACCTGATCCGGGGGCGGCAGTACTGGCGGTACGACGAGGCGGCGGCGCGCCCGGACCCCGGCTACCCGCGCGACCTGAGCCTCTGGGAGGGCGCGCCGCCGGCCCCCGACGATGTCACCGTCAGCAACACGGGTGGGAGAGCTCGCGCAGCCGGGGGGCTGGGCGATGGGGGGCCAGGGGTCGCGGGGTGCGGGGGCCTGCAGAGCCCGGGGTGGGGGGAGAAGTGGTGCGGAGAGAGGGGTTTGAAGGGTGGGCAGGCGTGGGCCAGCCCCTCAAACATCTCCCTCCCCACAGGTGACACCTACTTCTTCAAGGGTGTCCACTACTGGCGCTTCCCCAAGGGCAGCATCAAAGCCGAGGCAGACTCCCCCCAACCCATGGGTCCCAAGTTCCTGGACTGCCCCGCCTCCAGTGTGCGCCCTCCGGTCCTCAGACCCCCCAGAGCGACCCTTAAACCTGGAGACTGCGACTGTCAGTGCGAGATCAGCCAGGCTGCAGGGCGGCCTTCGGTGCTCCTCCTGCCTCTTCTTTCCCTGCTGGTGGGGGGTCTGGCCTCCCCCTGAGGGGACCTGCGGCTGCCTGGAAGGGACCAGCTCGCCCACGGGGCCCCCGCGGGTTGTGGCTGTGGAAAGTCTGTCCCAGGCGCAGGACTCAGTCAGGATGCAGCTGGGGATGCCAGTGGAGCTAAATCCAGGAGGCTGGAAACAGAGGGCGGGCCCTGGCACTGAACACCCCTGTGTGCAGCCAACTGGGCCTTCCTCCCCTGCCCCTGGCCATGACCCCGCAGGACTGTCCTTTTCCCGGAACACCTGGCCTTTCCCAGAGCTCAGGCGGCTGAATTCCTGCAGCCCTGGCCCCGCCTGCCAACAGCAGCTGTCCCAAGTGCTTGGTTCTTTACAGGACAGCCCCTTGCTGAGCCAGCTCTCCAGCCTCTGCTCTAATGTTTCTCATCCTGTCCTCCCTCCACAATGTCCCAATCGAAGCACATTGATGGGGTCCCAAACCCAGCTCTGACACCACCCCTGAGCATGTGTCCCAAGTCTGGGGTGACATCAGTGGTTCACATGTGGGTGAGGCTCCTGGGATGGACCCTGTGGCCCATCCTTGGTTCTGGTCACCACGCTGGTACCAGAACTGCCCACATTGAGTAGGACACCCTCCTGCTCCTAAAACACCTCCACACCTGAGCCTCTGCCGCCCCCTCCAGAACCCCTTGGCTCCCATCAGCTTGATGCTGGTGGGAAGACAGTGGACTGGTCCCCTCTCAGTCTGGGGTCACTGCCTCCTCAATGCTTCTGGGTGACAAGTGGGAGGAACCTGGGCCACCTCAATGACGCCCTTCCCCACTGAATTCAGGATCTAAATGAGTGCCTCTACAACTCTGCTTCTGGAATATTCCACACAGGATGACCCAGGAAGGGAGTTCCCTGGTGGTCCAGTGGTCAGAATCTAGGGCTCTCACTGTCGTGGCCTGTGTTAAATTTCTAGTCCCAGAACTAAAATCCTTCAAGCTGTTCCATGTGGTCCAAGAAAAAGAGAGAATGACCTAGGGAACTTTAAAAATGCAGATTCAATGTCTTCACTGTGAATCCTCACTCTGGGTCTGGGGCCAGGAATCTGCATTTGAACAAACTGGGTGGTTGATTGTGGGGGTGGGCTGGGGGGTGGCCCCGATCTGCAAGGGACCACGGCCAGCAGCTGCCATCTCTGGTCTCTGTCCTCTGACTTGTGTGTCTCCACCATGTTCTCCACCCAGAGGCCCACCTCTTCCTGTGTTTACAGAGCCCAGTGCATGGCCTGGGGCAAAGAGGTTCACCCCCATGGCTGGAGTCGCTTAGTCACATTTCTTGGGTTGTCACCCAGCCTCAGCGGGCCCACAGTGCTGCCCACAGCTGACCCAGGGGCGTGGAGCCCAGCGTGCTCACGACCAGATCAGAAGGAGGATGACAGCCAGGTGTCTTCAACCAGCCAGAGACCTGGGAATTCAAAGGCACCAGAAGCCCTCTGGGCCTCTGTCAGGACCCTTTCTAAGTATCAGGAGGAGGAAACTTGTATTCGCAAAGCTTGTCAGCCCTGAAGCAGGACAATAAAAATAACAGGAGAAAGTACCCTTTTTTTCCTCAGAGCAGTGATGGAGCCAGGCTGAAGTTTGGTGACAGACCTGAATCACTGTTTTACAGAAGAGGCTGGAATCCAGCATTGATGGGGGACAGAGTGGTTGAGAATGAATTGGGGGAGCAACCAAAGTTGGTTGGAGGGGCCTGGAGAGGGTAGTCCCATGTGACATTTGAGGCTCCTTTCACTGCAACAATGGACACTTCTTCAGCCTCTCAGAGTTCATGAAGCCTTCTTCACAAAAATGCCACATTGCATTGAATTATGTTATTTAAAGAATGGGAAATAAATGATACAAATTATTAAAATAGAAATGCTTAAAACTTTAGTATTTCAAAGGGCAACACCAGAAAACTAAAAAGACAACCCACAGAATGGGGACAAAAAATTGCAAATGTTACATGTGGTAAGGGCATGGAGCCAGAAAACATACCTTGTGTGTGTGTGTGCACGCTCAATGCAGTCTCCGTGGCCCCATAGACTATGGCCCTCCAGGCTCCCCTGTCCATGGTGTTTTCCAGGCAAGAATATTGGAATGGGTTGCCATGTCCTCCTCCTCGGAATCTTCCCTGACTCACGGATTGAACCTGGATCTCTCGCATTGCAGGTGGACTCTACCGCTCAGCTACTGGGAAAGCCTCGGGAAATTGTCTAGTGGTACCTCAGAAAGTTAAAAACAGACTTAGGGATTGCCTGGTGGCGGGCCCTGGAGGATGCTGGCTTAGGAGTGCAGGATGGTTTCTTGAGATGATAAAAGTGTTCTGAAATTGACGGTGGTGATGGTTGAGTAGTACTGTGCATTGAATTAGGCACTTTCCTGGGTGAATTGTATGATGTGTGAATTATATCTCACCAAAACTCTATAAAGAAAAGGGTTCAGCCCATAGTGAGACACGAAAGGCCTTTCAGGAGGTGGCCTTCCTGAGACAGATGTGGAGGTACCCGGTGTCACCTCTCAGGGAGTCAGATCACTAGAGGTAAGACCTGGAAATGAGGCACGCAGCTGAAGCAAGAGAAAACCGCTCAGCGGTGTCTGACTCTGTGACCCACTCCATGGGCGATGCAGTCTGTGGGATTCTCCGGGCCAAGATACTGGAGTGGGTTTCTTTCTCCAGGGGGATGTTCCCGACCCAGGGATCGAACCTAGGTCTCCTGCATTGCAGGTGGATTCTCAACCCTCTGAGCCACGAGGGACGCCTGCAGCTGAAGCAAGAAAGGCTCTGTTGTCTCCCTCCCGCCCTGGAGTTCTGAGCTGGCTCAGGGAAGGATCTGGACGTCCTGGTTGTGGGAAGGGAGGTTCAGACAACTGAACGGGCTCGTAAGGGGCAGGGGATGCCGGCTGGGGTCTGGTGGACCTGAGAGACTTTCCCTGAGGAGTGGGATTTGTAGGTTTGTCCCCATGGGGTGCACACAGGTGGCCCATCAGGAGGCCGGTTCCCCTTCAAGGATATGAGACACTGAATCGTGTTGTCCTGAATTCACAGTGAAGTCCTAACCACCAGCACCTGGAGGTGGTCTTGACAGGGAATCAAGCTAGCATGTGGTGCTCAGGGTGGGCCCTAATCCATTATGACTGGTGACCTTATGAAAATGGGGAATTAGGAGACAGACATTTGTCTAGGGAGGGCGCCATGTAGACCTGGAGACAGCCGTCTACATGCCTAGGAGAGAAGCCTGGAACACATGCTTCCCTCAGGTCTCTCCGAGCAACCACTACCTGCTGACGCCTTGATTTCAATTTCTAGGCTCCACTGTGAGAATAAATGTGTGTTGCTGAGACCCAGGTCTGTGGCTCTTTGTTGTGGCAGCCCTGGGTTTCTAAGACGGAAGCAAGGCCATGGCTGTGTTGCGTTGTGAGAGGCTGTGGTCTCAGGGGAGGTGGGCCAGGCTGTGAGAGTCAGGCCCTCTGGGGATGGCCAGGGCCAGGGAGACCCCTGCCATGGCGCCTGAGGACTGGGGGCCCTAGCAGGGCTCAGGAGACCCTGGTCAGCGGGGTCCAGATGGTCAGCAAGGCTCCCTTCAGCCCCCTCTGAAGGGACACATCCTGTGTGTCAGGCACACAGGCCCGGCCCCTGCCCTGGGTGCCGGCCCGCCGTGAGTCTCCAGCTCAGGCTCCCTGCAGGTCCTGTGACTTCCTGAGGGCAGGGTGGCTACAGAAGCTTCTCTGGATGTGGAGTGGGGTGCAGTCTGATCCAGGGCCCTGGTCGGCTCCCCCTGAAGCTTCCTCAAACTATGGTCCCAAGTCTGGACTTCCCCCCGTCCCTCCCTGCGCTCCAGCTGATTGATGGTGAGGGGTCGCGGCCCAAACTGGGCTCAAGGAGGGGGGCCCTGACCTGGGACCCCGAGTGTAAGGGACACGCCCTCCCCGCCCCGGCCCCTCAGAACCCTCTGGCTCCATGTCTTCCCCTCCTTCTGTCTCCCCCGCCCCCGTTTCTGCTTCAGTTTCTGTCTCAGTTTCTGTCTCAAACAGACACAGCTGACCCTGCCTCCTCCTGAGCAGGGCTCCACCCTCTCCGCCCCTCCCTGACCAGTTTTTAAGTCGCTGGCTCTCAGGGGCAGCGGGGCAGTGCTCAGCTGGAGCTCTGGGTGCAGGATCTCAGGTGAGGGGTTCTGGGGAGCCCGGCGTGGGGGTGGGGGAGACCTGCAGGCGGACGACCGTCCAGGGTGGTGGGCGAGCCCGCTTCTCTGAAGCACTTTTCCTCCCACTCTTCCTCCACCAGGTCCCAGCGGGAGGACCCTAAGCCACCATGTGCTTCGCTAAGGTGGGTGACTACGAGGGATGAGGGGAGAGTGGGCCTGGGGTCTCATTTGCAGTCTGTCCCTGCTCTCAGCAGCTCAGCCCGAGCCCTGCTGACTGCTCTGCTCACAGCAGATGTGTCCTAGGCTCCCTGGGGGCTGGGGTGGACGCTGGGGAAAGTGAAAGTGTGAGTCACTCAGACTCTTTGTGAACCCGGGGACTGTAGCCCAACAGGCTCCCCTGTCCGTGGGATTAAGGCAGAGACCCTGGAGCGGGTTGCCATTTCCTTCCCACTGGGGAAACAGAGGGTCACAACGTGGGACCTGTGCCATCAAAGCACCCAGTCTCACAATGACCCTGGTCGAACGCTCTGCTGTACCATCCTGAAATTCTGGATAATCGTTTGCACACACGCTAGTTTCCTGTTGTTCTGAGCCGTTTCCTTCTGTGGCCCATCCTGGCTGTGGGGCTGGGTGGGGCTCCTGCTGGGAGGTCGGTTTGTGGGGCAGCTCAGTGTGGGGGCGTCTGTTGGGACCGAGGAAGGAGCGATGGACCAGGGTGAGTGTAGGAATTAGAGTCGTCATGCTCATGGGGGAGTTAGACATGGAGCTTATGCGATGTCAGAGTTTTCAGCCATCCTCAGCCTCTTTCTAATGCTTATTTGTATTTATTGAATTTCTTTTTCTCAGGGATCTTAGTTGCAGCGTGTGGGGTCTAGTTCCCTGGCCAGGGTTGGAACCAACCCCCCTACACTGAGTGCTGGGAGCCTTGGCCGCTGGACCACAAGGGAAAACACCCCAACCCCACCCCGATCCTTAGGATAGCCTGGAAATCCCTGTGTGGCGGGGCCTGACCACATGTTCCTGGAAACTGAAAGCATTTCTCTCAGGGCCCGGATCAGGAGCTGAAGCCACACTGAGCTCAGAGTCTATTCATTCCCTTTGGGGTGCTCTCCACCCTCTGTACCAATCCCCCGTCTCAATTCTGAGGGTGACCAGATGCTCAGGGGCTCTGGGCCATGGAACACCAGGATCTGGGAGTGGTCATCAGGGGTGACCCAGGCTGAGTGCTCAGGCCCAGTGAGAAGATGATGCTGGCAGCTGAGTGTCCCCCTGGACCCGCAAGGTGTTTCCCTGCCCAGTCACGTGTGATGCTGGGCTGACAGGCTGGGCCCCGCACACAGCGTGTGCAGACGGGAGCCCTGCACGCGCTGTGAGCCTCACTGACCCCCAAGGGCCAGGAGGGCAGTGGAGACACGCCAGATTCCCGCCGTTATGTGGAGTCTCCCGAGGGGTCAGTGGGGCACCTCCATGACGCATCAAGTTTCTGGAGGGGAAGGGGCTGGGGCCGGGGGTCTGCAGGGTCAGAGGTCGGGAAGACTGGCCGCTGTCACCGTCAGCGGCTCAGACAGGACAGGACAGCGCCAGTTCCTCCCTGGTCAGCTCTCAGCAGGGCCACGGAGGGCTGGGCATCTGGGAACCAGGCTGACCCGCCTACTCCAGGGCAAGGGGCATCCTTGTGTGAGTGTGTGTGGGTGTAAAACAGGTCTCGGTGGTTACAAGGTCAGAAGCCTGAGTTTCACTTTTCCTCCACAGGGAGTCCCACATGACGCGGATTCTCTCAGGGCCCAAATGGTAAGAAGCTCATCTCTGAGTTCTTTTGGGTGAAGCTGAGAACGTTCTTGTCCACTTGGGATCCAGCAGGGAGAAGAACCGAGTTTCTTTTACTCAAATCCCTCTGTGTTCACAGGTCAACCATGTGAATCAGTTCTGTGATTTGCTGGAAAAGAAACCAGAAGAAGCACAGGTGGGTCAGTGTGGCCCACCCCCGAACCCTCCCCAGGTTGAGGGTGGTGGGGTGGGGTCACAGTCATGGTGATGATGAGGGTCACAGCTCAGCGCCCAGTCATTTCACTGGACAAACGCACACCTGTGTGACAGGTGAGTGCACAGGAAGGGATATGGAGGCCCAGGGATGCTGAGGGAGGTGTCAGGACCACAGGGCAATGAGGGCAGGGCAGGCATGCCAGACGCATGGTCACCAGGTTGAGGGTTACTTATTGAGGTGACTGGGCAGAGATGAAAACTAGCTGGGGCTTGGGGTTCAGGGTGAAAGTGAGAGAGGGTGGGGGTGTTTTAAACAGAGTGCCTTTTTCTCAACAGGTGGAGGCAGCCCAAGGAGAGATGGAGGTGAGTTTGGACCTTGCCCCCTGCTAAGGGTAGTCCTCAGAGTGGAATCAGCCAGGGTGTGGGGTCTGGGGCCCTGGCTCCCTTCAGACTCACCTGGATGCACGGGAGGCGGCAGTGGGGACCCCTGACCGCAGCAGTGAGGCAGGAGTGCAGACTGCACACTTCCTCTCCCCAGGAGGCACTCAGCGAGGACATCGTTGAATACCTGGAAGATCACATTCAAGAGAACCTTCCAGTGAGTTGGAGCCACTGTCTCAGCGCCTTCCTTCCTCTCCCTCTGGCCTCTCTTATCCTTGGTGCTGGCACATGTGCTCCCTGGAGTTGGGGGTGAAGGGGGTCCCTGACATCTCAGTTGCTGCAGCCTTGCTGGCATCGGCCTCCCCACTCAGCACACGGGGGCCAGAGCCCTGGACTCAGCCTCCTGCCTGATGAGCCCCGTGGGCCTGGTGCTGGGTTCAGAGGCCAACCACCTACAGGCAGGTACAACCAAGCATCAGGGTTTGTTCTTCGCGGGGAATCAAGTGGCCAGGCCGAGTCTCTGGGAGAAGTCCTTGTATCTGCGGAGCGTTTGGCCAGAAGGCAGGCAGTTTCCATTCGTGGGTTTCTGAATCCCAGTGTCTCCCAAGGGCTGGGAGGCCTCGGTCAGGGCAGGATCAGAGTCTGCCTTGCCCGGGGCGGGTCCCTGAACAGGCCCCCATCCCTGCAGGAATCCCAGCAGGAGTCCCGTGCCTTGCTTCTGGAAGCACGGCAAGAAGTACGCCGCAGAATCCAGAGACCCTCGGTCTCTGCCTCCCTGGAGGTCCAGAATCCGGAAGAGAGCATCTGGGCCAGAGCCTGGCGGCGGTTCTTGGGCTTTCTGCAGAGCCTGCAGCAGCGGTGCTGGGATGTGCTGACCTGGCTGCGGGAGAAGGCGGCGGCCATCCTAGCGGCCATCTGCAGAGTGGTGGAGGCCGTCTGGGGATCGCTGAGTGGTATCAGCTTCTCTGTGGGGCAGCTCTTCGGAAACCTCATCCAGGTCTAGGAGCCCCAGGTCGTTCTGGAGGAGCCCCACCTCATCCAGAAGGCCTTGCACGTTCCCCTCGCTGGAAACCACCTTCTGAAGCGGCCTGTACCCTCCTGCTCACCCTTGACCCTGACCCGCCCTTTAACTGCCCTCGCCGCCTGTCCTGCAGGGAGGACACCACAGCATCAGGCCAGCTGTTCCTTCTCCAGGTCTGACCTGCTGTCAGGGAGGGGGTTGCTCTGCTGACCCGGGGCTGTGGGAGAGGCGGGAAGCCAGGAGGCCCCAAGGACCACGGTGGCTTCCGTGGGTCAGCCTCCCTCAGTGTCTCTGCCTGTCGCTCCAGACCCTGTCAGATGGGGCGGTGAGCTGATTCTCAGCGAGGGGCACCCCTGAGGGCCGGCTGTGGGTGCAACAGGAGAAGGCATGGTGGGCCCCGACCCTGACGTTGGTATCTTGGTGCCCTCAGCATGCTAAGGGACACAGCTTGCTGTCAGCTCAGGTCCCAGCAGGCAGGAGACCGGGAGGAAGGCTGTCCCTGTCTCCTGGGCCTGCCCCTTCCTGTCTGAGGAGGACAGCAGGCTGTCTGGCCTTCCTTGTGGCACAGCCCCATTCTGGCCACACCCTTCCCCCTTAACTTCCAGGGGGTCCGTCTGACAGGTCTGACGCTGGACAGCCTACCTCTGGCCTGAGATTCCCGCTGCAAGGAGTCGCCCCTGCCAGGCCCTGAGCTGCCGTGACTTCCTGGCCCTGTCCTTGCCTCACCTCCCCATCAGTATGCAAGTCTCTCAGACTTTCCCCTGAGTCTTCCAGTGAGCCTGTGCTCAACCTCCACTTGCCTATTTCCATGTGTTCTTTTCCATAATGACCTTACATCTGATATCCTTCTTCTCACACTGGAGATGTTACTCAGTTGATATAAGTAGTAAGGTTTTTTTTGTTTGACATTAAATTTCTTCCCCGTTTCAACACCAGTACGAGTTTGTCTTTTGTTGTTGTTTTTAGATTAAATCATTTCTCATTTCAATGCAAGTTATATGAAATACATTTTCTAAACACTCCCCCTCTCAAAGAAATGTTTCAGTTTTTGACTAATGCTGTTTATTATGTGCATGTACAATAGAAACTGGGGAGGTAACAAAACAAAATCTAAGAAAAATATGGAGAAAACAGTCCTCCATGGTGCAGGAGGGAGTGATTTTAATGCAATAGGTGTAATTTCCTAGGATTCTGGGCACAACTTTCTTTCTTCCAATGGAGAATTCTGAAACAATGAAATATGACTTATGTAAATGTCAGTCATCTCTCTTCTTTGACCTTATAACTAGCACATGCAAATTAGAGACAGCAGTTTTCAATGGGTTATTTGCTGTAAAGAAGACGTTTTGATATCCATTTGAAACTGCTAGGTGGTGTTTCATGGGACCCGAGGAACTCTGGTCCTTTATGTCTCAGCTCAGAAAGAATTCAGGGAGAGGCAAAAGGAGGCAGGCAGGCTAAAGTCCATGGGGTGGCCCAGAGTCGGACACAACTGAGTAACTGACACTCGCTGACCTGTGAGACCCCGTCTAATCAGCACGACGCTGCTCTGGATCCCCGCGCCTGCACAACAGTCCTTGGCTGCTGGCCAAGCTCCTCTCCCCCCTGGGTCTCTGCACATGCTGCTCCTTTTGCCTGGGATGCCCACCTTTCTCTTCCGGGGCAGCCCTGCCCCTCTGTTTCAAGCCAGGCCCCCTCAATGCCCCAGCACACTGACTGGCACACGGGAGGGGCTCAGGTAGTGATTCCGCCTTGATATGCTGTGTGCTGTGGCTCAGTCGTGTTCGCCCCTGCAGCCCCATGGACTGTGGCCCACCAGGTCCCTCTGTCCCTGGGATTTCCCAGGCAAGGATACTGGAGTGGCGTGTCATTTCCTTCTCCAAGGGATCTTCCGAGCCCAGGGATTGAACCCAGGTCTCCGGCATCTCCTTCAGTAGCAGTCAGACCCTTGACCACCAGTGCCACCCATGCTGGGGGTTCTCCCAGTTCCTCAGTCTCGTAGCTGACCTATCCTTTCTCCCAGAAACGTTCTTCCCAGGAGTCTTGCAGGAGTCTTAAACTGAAACCTGTGACATGTGGGGACTCCCGTAGCCCTGTCTTCCACCACGTAAACGACTAAATCTCCCAGCCCCAGGATCAGAGCTTTCCCTCCCAGCTGTGCCCTAAAAACACCTCTACTTTCCAAATCCAGTTGCTCCCCAAATTCCTATCCTGAAGTCCTCTGGATGGAGGATGTCAGCGGGAGGTGGTCTTTACAAGGAATCAAGGTAAACAAGGTCCTTGGGGTGGGCCCTAATCCATTATGACTGCTGACCTTATGAAAATCGGGGATTAGGAGACACATACTTGTCTGGAGAGGATGCCGTGTCGACGTGGAGATGGCTATCTACCAGCCTAGGTGAGGCCTGGAAGACAGGCTTCTCTCAGGGCTCTCAGAGGAACCATACCTGCTGACACCTTGACTTTCACTTCTAGGCTGCACTGTGAGAGAAGAAATGTGTGTTGTTGATACACGGGTCTGGGATTCTTTGTTATGGTGGCCCTGGGCCTGGAAGAGATTCGAGAAGGCCATGGAGGTGCTGGGCTGTGCGAGGCTATTGCCTCAGCAAGGAAGCTGGCCAGGCTGTGAGCGACAAGCCCTGTGGGGCCGGCCAGGGCAGGAGACACCAGCCACTTCGCTTAGGATCGAGGGGCCAGAGGGTTCCGCTTCCAGACAGCCTTCATTCCCTCCTGAAGGCCTCGGCTGTGTGCCAGGCAGCCCAGGCCCTTCCTGTCAACAGCCATGCCAAGCTGTTTGGGCCTTTAGGGACGGGCCCCACCGCCCACCCCGGGACGCTGAACCCCAGCCTGACTCTCCAGACCCTCTGTGCTGTTTGTCTCCCTGTCTTGCGTCTGTGAAATCCCAAGCACCCCACATTGCTGGGGACCCCACATCAGCCCTGAGACCACCCCTGATCGCCCGGCCCCACGTCCTGGGTGGCATCACTGGTCACACGTAGATGATGCTCCACAGTCGGCCCCGTGCACCTTCTCTCCGGTCAGCACACTGGAACCAGAACTGCCCAGTCTCAGGGGGACGCCCTCCTGCACCTGAAACACCTCTCCCCCCCTCCACACCTGCGCCCCTGCCACCCGCTCAGGAACTGCTTGGCTCCCATCAGCTCATGCTGGTGGGACGATAGGGGACTGGTCCCCTCTCTGTCTGGGGTCACTGCTTCCTCAATGTTCCTGGGTGATGAGTGCGTGGAACCTGAGCCACCTCATTGACCATCCCCCACTCCAGACTCATCACAGAATTCAGGATGTAAAAACCAGTGCCTCTGCAAATCTGCTTCTGGAATATCCACACAGGATGACCCAGGAAGGGTGTTGCCTGCTGGTCCACTGGTTAGAATGAGGCACTTTCACTGTCATGGCCTTAGTGAAATTTCTAGTCCCAGAACTAAGATCCCTAGAGATAGAATGACCTTGGGAACTTAAAAATGCAGATTCTTTGTCCTCACTCTGAATCTACATACAGTGGGGGTTGGGGCAGGAATCTGCATTTGAACAAGCTGGAGTGGTGGGGGTGGGGAGTGGTCTGCCTGTGCAAGGGAGCTGGGCCAGCAGTTGCATCTCTATGTTTTGTGGCTTTTCTGTATCTCTGCCAAGTTCTCCACCGAGGGGCCCACCTTTTCCTGTTATCTACAGAGCAGTGCTCATGGCCTGGGTGAGAGTGTTTCACCCCGCATGGGTGGAGTCATACTCTCCATTTCTGAATCTGTCACACAGCCTCAGCAGGCCCACAAGTGCTGCCCAGAGCTGACCCAGGGGGCATGGAGCCCAGCGTGGTCACGACCAGACCAGAAGGAGGATGACACCCAAGTGTCTTCAACCAGCCACGGACCTGGGAATTCAAAGGCCCCAGAAGCTATGTGGGCCTCTGTCAGGACCCTTTCTAAGTATGAGGAGGAGGAAACTTGTATTCGCAAACCTTGTCAGTCCTGAAACAGGACAATAAAAATAACAGGAGAGAAAAGCCTTCATTTCCTTGGAGCAGTGATGGAGCCAGGCTGAAGTTTGGAGGCAGGAACATGACAGACCCGATCACTGTTTTACAGAAGAGGCTGGAATCCAGCATTGATGGTGGACAGGGTGGCTGAGAATGAATTGGGGGAGCAACCAAAGTTGGTTGGAGGGGCCCAGAGAGGGATGTCCCATGTGACATCTGAGGCTCCTTTCACTGCGACAATGGACACTTCTCCAGCCTCTCAGACTTCATGAATCCTGCTTCACAAAAATGCCACATCGCAAAAAAAAAAAAAAAAAAAAAAAAATGCCACATCGCATTGAATTATGTTATTTAAAGAATAGTACAGCTCCAGGAGTTGGTGATGGACAGGGAAGCCTGGCATGCTGCAGTCCATGGGGTTGCAAATAATCAGACATGACTGAGAGACTGAACTGAATCAAACAGTCCCAAGATAAAAATGTAAAATCTTTTGTGTTTCTGAAGACACCATCAGAAAAATGAAAAGACAACCCTCCAAATGGGGACAAAAATTTTGCAAATGGTATATCTTGTCGGGATCCGCCAGGACGTGCCCAGGCCGTGACAAGGTCACGGGACGAGAAAGGAACCTGCAAGGCAGCTCTTCCCCTCGAGGTTGTCCCGGGGGCCCGGTATGTCCCTTTGCTCCTTCTTTCTCTCTGTAGTTGGGCTTTCTATTAATTTTTGGAAATATAATATGTAGTAATAAGGCCTCCCTGGAAAAGTCCAAGCCTTTTTGGAAATGCTCATGATTGCCCTGGCTCAGGACATGACCATTAACATCAAGTCAAAAAAGACAAGGCCACAGGTATAGTTCGGCTGCTTGCTTAAAAGATTATAATGTTCTAGAATAGAAAAGAGTAGAGGCATTTAAATTGAGAAGTAGATATACTGCTTCAGTTTAATTGCTTCTTGGTTAGAGGGTTTTTGTCACGCGAGTGTATGCTCCTCA